TTTAGAGATTTTTGGAGGTCATGCATCTAATAAGTGGCAGAGCAGAGACTGTCAGTCTAATAAACTGAAATTGACTTCAGTTCAAATAAAATATAAGAAGTCCTATCCCTCTGCTCCACTGCAGGAGTCTATGGAGATTGAATCCAGAGGCAAGTAAGTATAGGGTTCAGAGAGAAGAATCAAAACCAGCATGGATACTGAGGGTCATCATAGTAGGGATAACAATTATCTTGGTGGCCAGAATCTTTCCATAGACACCAATTAAACACTATGTGGAGCAAGAAATATGTTAAAAGCTGACATGGGTTCAGAAGCCATGGCCTCAGGATTGGAGCCTGAGGTGGACGCCCCCAAGAGATTTTCATCTCAACAATGCATAATTACACGCTGCTTGGCGAAAACCCGGACTGCTGGATCAAGGCCATGTGAATATGAGACGTAAAAATAAACCAAAGTCATCGGAAGATGCCAATAATTACACTGCCTGCCCTCGAGTTAAAGTGCCATGAATCTGCTTTGCCTTACAAGACTCTAACCTCCACAAAAATCAGGTGACAGCACATAGGAAAGAAACCCCAAATCGCACTGACATGAAGTACCTACTCAGTGCTACGGGTTTTTCTTCATCCCGTTGAATTTCATAGACTCTGGGAAGTGCCTATTTTCATCCTCTTTCTGTTTCTTTTTTCTTTTTTTCTTCAATAGGGTACATTTCCCAACGTAACATATGTAACAAGAGATACTTTCAGGATTTGGATCCAGGTCAGTTGAAGACAATCTCCCATCTGCAGTTTCCATGTGACCATACTGTTTGGACTGTCACAGTCTGAGGGCCTCAGTTCTAATCACGGTCTATTCACAAATTCCCTGAGTGACCTCAGACAAGGCACTTAACCTCCTTCAGCCTCAGCTTTTTCACCTAGGAATGAGGAAGGTGACCTAACCACACACAGTTTATGCAAAGAAACCCTTAAATTATTTATATGGCAACGGGGCACAATTGTAAAATACAACATCACCATGCCTTTGGGACCCCATTCCACGTAGAAAATAACTTATTTGTCCATTCATCGAACGAAGTTTTTTTTCAATAGCTACCATGTGCCAATGGCCACGCGAAGAAGTTACGACGTTTAAGTGGTCAAGAACATGGGTACAGGTATGCGCCTGGACCCGACAGTCTCACAAGAGAGCCAGGTGTTAATGAATATATAAACAAAGGTATTATGGTAACCTGAGGTTTGGGGTTTCATTTGGGAATTAAGGATGTTAGGAAAGCATATCAAATGGGTCCCAACACCCTTTCAATGCAAGGAGCACAGCCTTTGGAGCTGAGTTCTGAGGGACACACAGAAGCTACAGAAAGGGAGGGAAAAGGAAAAACACATTCCGGGTAGAGAGAACAGCCTATGTGAAGCCCTGTGGAGCAGAAGGAAGCATGTACATGGGGCACCTGGGTGGCTCAGTCGGTTAAGCGTCCGACTTTGGCTCAGGTCATGATCTCACGGTTCACGGTTCGAGCCCCGCGTCGGGCTCTGTGCTGACAACTCAGCGCCTGGAGCCTGCTGCAGATTCTGTGTCTCCGCCTCTCTCTGCCCCTCCCCCACTTGCACTCT